CAGTAAAATAATAATAATAATAATAATAATAATAATAATAATAATAATGTGTCTATTCTGTCACAGACTCGCATCTGGTGTGTTCAAGACACCAGAACACCTCCATGCCATGATATTGCTATCAAGGTTTTGCCATCATCACACACATATTCAATGCAAATTAACCAACTTGTTTGATTAAATGGCATTATTATTTTTCCCATCTTACTGGGATAGCACAATATTAGTATTATATATTGCGGAAACCGCACTGAGTCGCCTACGGGCTGAGAGAGTGCGGTATACAAATAAAGTAAATAAATAAATAATAAATAAATATATTATAATGACTTTGCAAGATTTTAGAATGTAAAATTTGTCAAACTTACCTGGGGAGACCAAGCCTTGAAGGGAAAAGAGCCGTTCTGTCATTATATTAGGTAAACCTTCCCAAATGTCTTTTTTTCAATATGAAACTTCCACATTTCCTAACTTTCTCCACTTGCTTCTCTCTATCTCCCTAACGTGGCACTCCGCACCATCTTGTGGGTCAAGAAGGTAATGCAAAAGCAAAGCAAAGTTTTTCAAGTAACCTGAGCCCCATCTTTTGTTGCTTCTCCCCAGGAGATTCTTTTTGTGACTTGGAAAATTAGGAAATATGGCGCCTGAACCCTGTGGGGGCCTGACGTCTTTGGAAACCTGCAGGGATTGGAATTGCACCACTGTGCAACACCCGTATTCAGGAGAAGGCAAAGAGCTTGACGCCATAGGCACATCGGTGTGCCATGTGCAGCTGTGTGAAATGTCAAGTTTTCTGTTCCAGTGAGCATAGAATCCTTAATTGGAAGAGAACCCCAGGACCATCTAATCCTACCCCATGCTGCCAAAAAGGAGACGTAATCAAAGCACTCCCGACAGAAGGCCATCCAACCTGTTTAAAAACCTTCAGAGGAGACTGCAGTGGAGAATATTTCAATGTCCAGGTGCTCTTAGGAAGGTCTTCCTAATGTGTTCAAAGCATTTCATGGCCGGAATCACTGGGTTGTTGTGAGTTTTCCAGGCTGTAATGCCATGTTCCAGAAGCATTCTCTCCTGATGTTTCTCCCACATCTATGGCAGGCATCCTCAGAGCTTCAGGAGTCTGTTGGAAACCAGGCAAGTGAGGTTTACATATCTATACAATGTCCTGGGTGGGAGAAAGAACTCTGTCTGTTTGAGGCAAGTGTGAACGTTGTAACTGGCCACCTTGATCAGCATCTAATGGCCTTGCAGCTGGTTGCTGCCTGAGGATCCTTTTTTGGGAGGTGTTAGCTGGCCCTGATCCCAGCAACTTCAACTCCCAAATGACAAAATCAACCCCTCCCAAATCTCACCAGTATTCAAATTTGGGCATATCTGTTTTTTGTGCCAAATGTGGTTCAATGAATGAAAATAATAATGTTGTTGTTCATTCGTTCAGTCGTCTCCGACTCTTTGTGACCTCATGGACCAGCCCACGGCAGAGCTCCCTGTCAGCCGTCACCACCCCGAGCTCCTTCAAGGTCAGTCCAGTCACTTCAAGGATGCCATCCATCCATCTTGCCCTTGGTCAGCCCCTCTTCCTTTTACCTTCCACTTTCCCCAGCATAATTGTCTTCTCTAGGCTTTGCTGTCTCCTCATGATGTGGCCAAAGTACTTCAACTTTGTCTCTAGTCTCCTTCCCTCCAATGAGCAGTCGGGCTTTATTTCCTGGAGGATGGACTGGTTGGATCTTCTCGCAGTCCAAGGCACTCTCAGAACTTTCCTCCAGCACCACAGCTCAAAAGCATCGATCTTCCTTCGCTCAGCCTTCCCGAAGGTCCAGCTCTCACATCCGTAGGTTACTACAGGGAATACCATGGCTTTGACTAGGCGGATCTTTGTTGCCAGTCTGATATCTCTACTCTTTACTATTTTATCGAGAACTGGACATTGCTCTCCTCCCAAGAAGTAAGCGTCTTCTGATTTCCTGGCCACAGTCTGCATCTGCAGTAATATTTGCACCTAGAAATACAAAGTCTGTCACGGCCTCCACATTTTCTCCCTCTATTTTCCAGTTGTCAATCATTCTTGGAAAATAATAATAAAATAATAAAAAATAAAATAATAAAAAATAATCCTGCATATCAGATATTTACATTATGATTCATAACAGCAGCAAAATTACAGTTATGAAGTAGCAACGAAAATAATTTTATGGTTGAGGGTCACTACAACATGAGCAACTGTATTAAGGGGTCGCAGCATTAGGAAGGTTGAGAAACACTGCTTTAAATGATCTCCCCAATTATGCTTAATTATGAAAGGCTTACCTGACCTGAGTGTTCCATTTCATAGGCTCGAAGCCAAAGCTTGGCTGAAAGACATTGAATTGCTGCTCTGCTTCTGGTGGAGAAAGCTATCCTATTCCTTCTATACTGGGTCCACAGTGGCATAGCCGGTTAAACCACTAAACTGCAGAACTTGCTGACCAGAAGGTCAGGGGTTCGAATCTGCGAGATGGTGTGAGTTCCCATTGTTAGTCCCAGCTTCTGCCAACATAGCAGTTTGAAAACATGCAAATGTGAGTAGATCAATAGGTATCACTTCTGTGGGAAGGTAGTGGTGCTCTATTTATTTATTTATGAAATTTATATGCCGCCTTTCTCACCCTGAAGGGGACTCAGTGCAGCTTACAAGTTATATGACATACAATATATTATATTATTAGCATAGCACAATATTAGTATTATATATTAATATGTTGTACTATATCCCTATACTGCAAAATTATTAGTAATATTACATGTAATATAAAATATATAATTATTCTATTGCATTATTAGTATTATATTGTATCACAATATTATGATCAATATATGTACATACAATATATAATTAGCATAGCACAATATTAGTATTATATATTACTATAGTGTACTATACCACTATACTGCAATATTATTAGTAATATTACATGTAATATAAAATATATATAAGTATTCTATTGCATTATTAGTATTATATTGTATCACAATATTATATCACTATATTACATATATAATTATTAGCATAGCACAATATTAGTATTATATATTACTATATTACATACAACATATAATTAGCATAGCACAATATTAGTATTATATATTAATGTATTGTACTATACCACTATACTGCATTATTAGTAATATTACATGTAATATAAAATATATAACTATTCTATTGCACTATTAGTATTATATTCCCGCCTTGACTACTGCAACGCTCTCTACGTGGGGCTGCCCTTGAAGACGGCCCGGAAGCTTCAGCTAGTCCAGCGCGCGGCAGCCATGTTACTAACGGGAGCGGGACGCAGGGAGCACACAACGCCCTTGTTGTCCCAGCTCCACTGGCTGCCGATCTGCTACCGGGCCCAATTTAAGGTGCTGGTGTTATCCTACAAAGCCCTAAAGGGTTCCGGCCCAAAATACCTTTCGGACCGCATCTCGGCCTATGAGCCCACGAGGGCCTTGAGATCGTCTGGGGAGGCCCTTCTCTCGATCCCGCCTGCCTCACAGGCACGTCTGGCGGGGACGAGAGAGAGGGCCTTCTCGGTGGTGGCCCCCCGGCTGTGGAACACCCTCCCTGTTGACATCAGACAGGCGCCCTCCCTTATGGCTTTCCGTAAGAGCCTAAAGACCTGGCTATTTGAAAAGGCATTTAATTGAGTGCTATACAAACTGGTAATGACAACTGGAACGGAATACGGACTATGAGATTGGCTATGATTCTATGTGTGACGATGCGGATTAGCTTAGTGTAAATTAGTTTAGTGTGTATTAGTGAAATGTTGATTTTGTTGTGCTTTATTGTATACTGTTTTTATATGTTGTACACCGCCGCGAGTCGCCCTTGGGCTGAGAGCGGCGGTTAACAAATGCAGTAAATAAATAATATTGTATTACAATATTATAATCAATATATGTACATACAATATATAATTATTAGCATAACACATTAGTATTATATATTACTATATTGTACTATACCACTATACTGCATTAGTAATATTACATGTAATATAAAATATGTATTATATTGTATTCGTATTATATTGTATTACAATATTATGATCAATATTATATGTACATTGTTGTTGTTGTTCATTCGTTCAGTCGTCTCCGACTCTTCGTGACCTCATGGACCAGTCCACGCCAGAGCTCCCTGTCGGCCGTCACCACCCCCAGCTCCTTCAAGGTCAGTCCAGTCACTTCAAGGATGCCATCCATCTATCTTGCCCTTGGTCGGCCCCTCTTCCTTTTGCCTTCCACTTTCCCCAGCATAATTGTCTTCTCTAGGCTTTGCTGTCTCCTCATATTATATGTACATACAATATATTATATTATTAGCATAGCACAATATTAATATTATATATTACTATATTATACTATACCACTATACTGCAATATTATTAGTAATATTACATGTAATATAAAATATAGAATTATTCTATCGCATTATTAGTATTATATTGTATTACAATATTATGATCAATATATGTACATACAATATATAATTAGCATAACACAATATATACCACTATACTGCAATATTAATAATATTATATGTAATAAATAAAATACAATTATTATATTGCATTATTATGACCATTATATTGTATTACATTATATTATTATCAATATTATATGCATATACAATATATTACATTATTAGCACAGCACAATATTAGCATTATATATTACTATATTTTTGTATTCATGCCGGCCATATGAACTTGAAGGAGTCTAAGGACAACGCCAAGTCTCTGGCTTAGAAATGAAAGTGAGCACCACCCTCCAGAGTTGGACATGACTAGACTTAATGTCAACGAGGAAACCTTTACCTTTTATTCCTCCTATGTTACTTCTTGCCTCCAAACTTTCTGTTAAGAACATACCAGCTTCGTTAATCCCTTTATGTGGAAAACAAAACACGAAAAGTTCAAACTGTTCTCCAAACAACACACACCCAAACAGCCAAGTCTGTCAAGTGATGCTTTCGGCTTTTATTTAGTTAAATGCAGCATTCTATACAAGAAAAAAGTGGGAGAAAAAAAATTGAGATTTTTCCCCCCTAGAGTTCTTTCTAAATCAACCCAAATTAAAAGATTTTCTCCCCAAAGACATCTGTACGGTATGGAAAATAATCTCTCCCTGCCCTCCCTCCCATTTACAGCGTGCCACGCAGTTAGGGTTATTTATTTCGTGTATCTCAAACTTCGGAACTGTACAATCGGTTTACAAATCACACTTTTTGTTTTGCTTTTTTTTTCCTATGAAAAATTACAGAAAAAAAATATTGCCACTTATTCTTTTTTTTTCATTTGTAACAAAAAATTAGATTTTTATTTATTTAAAAAAAATACACAAAAAAGAGTCAGCCAGAACTTCTCCTTTTTTTTCCTTGTAATTTGTCAGTGTGTGCTTGGGAGGAAGGCCGGTGGTGCCAAGGGGAGAAACCCAGGTGCGATTTGGAGCCGATTGGACTGATTACATTGAGAAATACATATATGCATATGTATACAGATCTTGTTAGAAACCTTCAGAATCGAGTTTGACAGCACTTGGCATTTCGAACAAACCCAAACGAGCTGGAAATGGATCCAAAGCCTTACCGGATCTTTTCTAAAGTTAAGGATTGTTTTTTCTCCAGCCTCGGGTTCTCTTTCCAACATTTTTTTGGGGAGTCATAGAAGCAAAAGGTGAATAGTTTGCAACCCAAAGGCTGTTGCCTTGGGTTCGGACACTGAAAGGCAAAGAGCAAATGCGCAATTCTGTTGTTTTGCTGCCCCACTTTGCAAGAAAATGAGACTTGGGGGGAGACACCTGCCGAATGCCTTTCTTTTATCACTTTTTAGAAAGACGGAGCGGACATTTTCCAAGAGGAGCAAGGCTCAAATCAAGGCCGAAAATGGTGTAATTTTCCCCAGAGTTTCTTTTGACATTTTGCCAGCGATCAAGGAGATAAAAACAAACTTTCGGCAAGACAAAAACCAAACTGCTTTAGACAAGGGGAAAAACCACCTCACTCAGATGTTGTATGGAGAAACATGATGCCCGTAAGCAAAGAGAGCTTTCACAAAGTGCTGTGACATTCCAAGTTAACTCATGACAACATGGAGTCTTGGGATATGTAGTTTGGAGCGGCATTGGAGCCCAAAGCTACACATTCCAAAGATCCCACAGGATGGGGATATGGAAGTTAGAGGGTGTTATAATACCCGTCATTACATAGCGTGGCGGTTCCAAAACTTTGGTCCTCCTCAAATTTCGCACTTCGATTCCTAGAATCTAAAACATGCAGAGGACGGAAAAATTGGGAAGCACACAGGTATTGTGCAAAACAGCAAGCTGGACATTGTTGTCTTGACTAAAAGATTTTGAGATCAATGTTTACAAAAACTAGAGGCATGCCGGCAATATGGAGCACGGCTGCACAAAGTCATAGGGCCTGCTTTCGATTGTATATGAAAGGATGAGCATGGGAGGAAAAGAGAGAAACCTAGGAGCAATTTGGAGAATTCATTAGAGGAAGAAGAATATGTATTTTATAAACCTACCTAAGACTTTTAAAACAAACTAAAGACCGGGATGTGGAATGGATCCTCTCTCATGGGATTGAGAGGCCTTGAAAGTGTTTTTGTCACAAATAGTCTTTTTTCTCTGCAATCTGGATTTTGCAGGAGTTAATTCCGTGCCCCTTTGGCACAAAACCAAAATCCAGAGCAGCCTAAAATGTGCTAGGCCAGCAGGCCAGGACAGAGACCAAACTGTTTTCTAATGGGCCTTTCTGTGCTCTGCTGACATTTTAAAGTTGCCCAAAGAGTCAGGTAATAAATTTTTTAAATATTATTTTTGTAAATGCAACCTTGTTATGATCAATCATGGTTCTCATTCTATGGGGTTAAAAGTAGGAGGCTTGAAAAAGCACACAACACTCTTATTTCATCAGAATCCAATGCTTATGGCATATGGCCATCTCGCTGTTAAAAACAGGCAAATGGAGCTGTAATTCCTCACAACTCGGGCTGTCCATCTGAGGACTGGAAGTACACAGTGAAACTACAGATCCCAGGATAATGTAATTGAGAGCAATCCCACTCTCCTTCCCTGGCCTAAAATGACAGAATATATTTTATTTATTTCCAAAATAGTGCAATCAGGGGCGATCGTATTCTCCTTGCCAAGCCACAACTGATGGGACACATCCAGCAGACACCTGGGATTTGTAGTTTGGGCACAGGATTCAAAGCGCACCATCTATGAAACTATATATTCCAGAATAATGCAATCGGAATGACTCTACTCCCTAGAAAGCATGGAATGGAGCCATCTTGGGATCTGTGGTTTCAACAAGTTCTGTTTCAACGCAAAGTGTGGAGAGTGAGGTGGAAAGGGCAAGGACTACAAGGCCAACCTGGGTTTATGCTTAATTTGAACTCAGGTCCTGGTAGGGCTCTGAAACTCTGGCAATTCCTTCTGTTTGGGGCAGAGCAAGGGCAAAAAGAGGAGAAGATGAATTTAAAAACAAAACCACGTGGACAAAATCCCAACTCGCAGCTTTGTGGTGCTCAAGCAGGAGAACAAAAGCACTAAGCATGGTGAAAGAGCTTGCACTGCATGACTAAAACAAGAGGTCAGTCTGGTAGGAATGGAGGTGTCCAATGATTCCTTTTCCTAGCCAAACTGAACCACGATCAGCTCGTGGATCCTGCTCCATGACTTGGCCTTCCCTGAGCCTGACTCCCCTGGAACCGATCCACCTTAAAAACACTGAAGGCAGAGGTACACACAACTGTTTTGCTAAGATACACAACTCTCTGCTCAACATAAATGGCAAAGGCAGGTGTTCCCCCCGTCCGTCTCTTTCTGGGACAGACAACAGAAAGAAAGGAAAAGGATCCATATTCAAGCATCAAAAGGTGTAGTGAGGTTGGAGAAAGACTTTTTTGGGGTAGGGGGGTTTCCACCCCCTAAAATGACAGGGGTCTGTGTGCGTTTGAACAGAACAGAGCCAACTTGACACACGAGGGAAGGGGTTCAACACACTGGGATGTCTCTCCTGAGCAAACCAACCAAAACGAAAGATTGTTTTTGCACACAGCCTGAGCCTACGGAGAACCTGTTGGGGACACGATGCCCCTTCTGATAAATGCAGTTAGAGCAAAAGGGACACCAGAACGCGGGGATTTTCCTTCTTCCCTCTCTCCCTCCCTCCCTCCCTTCAAGATTTGCTCCTATCGACCCCTTGGCTGAGATCCTGAGCAGCAGCTCCGGGGACGGGACTGCCACAAATCCTTCACAGAAAAGAGAAACACCTCTCGGTATCCTTCCATTAGCAGCGCAGAAACAAACACAAGATGCTTGCGAGCTCAAGCAAATAAAAGGAAAGGGGGGGAGGGTTATATGGCATTTGACGGAACTCACACACACACGCCATACACGCACGCACACGGGAAAAAGGGGGAGAACCCTGACGCTAAAGTGCAACACGTCCGACCGACGCTTTGTCATCCGGTGCCGTGACAGAAGTGTTTTCGCGAAGCTTTTGCGGTTTCGTTTTCCAGTTGCGGGAGGGTGACGTCTTCCGAACAACAGCAAGAGAAAAATAATAATAATAGTAAAGGGTGGTGGTGGTAATGGTGGTGGTGAGGGAGATAAAAACAATCCGCACACGGACTTCGGAAACCAGGGAGCCCTTTGGTGTTAGGATGGCGGCTGCCAGAGTGCCTCGCGTGGGATCGGACGCTGAATAACTCAGAACAGGCGCGTGGGGATTGCGTTGTTTCAAAAGAAGCGGTGGCATGAGAGCGCAAAAGGACATCCGCAACCCTTCTGGTCATTTTTTTTGGCATTTTTCTACATATACACGCCTCTCAGAACAACAACACAGTTTTTCCTTCAAAAGAAAAAAGAATGGCAAGGCAGGTGGCATCGAACACATCCCGGTTGGTAGGATGCCCTGATGGATTATTATTATTATTATTCAAGCCAGATGCCTGCTGGGTATTCCTCGGCCTGACAAGGAGGCTAGAAAGAGAGGAAGGTGAAAGATGGAGGATTAGAAAGAGAGACGGGGAAGAGAAAAGTCGTGCAACTCCACGGTCCGAAGGCCGGTCTCAGCAGCTGTGATCCTGGATGCAGGGAAGGTGATGGGGAAAAGGAAAGGACAGGACTCCCTCAATGCCGCCTCATTTTGACTTTGCGAGCGGGGCTGCCGTCCTCTTCCTCCTCCTCCTCCTCTTCCTCAAAGTCCTCCCCGTGAGACTTCCGCCAATAGTTCTCGGAGCTGAAATGGCTCCGCCTCCTGTGCTTGGGCAAAAGGACGGAGCGCCGGTTCTCCTCTTTATCCATTTCTAAAATGCGAGGCCTGGAAAAGCAGGCGGAGGAGAGAAAAAGAGATGCACACACATCTGGGTTAGGCGGGGTCAGCTGCAGACCTAACCTGCCTTCGAAATAAGTCCACAATCTGAGAAACCTCATGGGAAAGCACAACACAGGTACCACAGACTTTTTTGTGTGTGTGTCAGGAGTGACTTGAGAAACTGCAAGTCGCTTCTGGTGTGAGAGAATTGGCTGTCTGCAAGGACATTGGGATTTTTGGTATTTTACCATCCTTGTGGGAGGCTTCTCTCATGTCCCCGCATGGGGAGCTGGAGCTGACAAAGGGAGCTCAACCCGCTCTCCCCAGATTTGAACAGCTGACCTGTTGGTCAGCAGTCCAGTGGGTTTAACCCACTGCATCACAACAGACTATTCTTGTCAGAAATGTAGGTGACTCAAAGGACACACAATATATAGGCTAGGTATTCAAGCACTGAACTGGTGTTTGGGACTCTTTCTCTTGTCCATTTAGTGCAGGGGAGTCAAACTCATTTCTATCGAAGGCCACATCAGCCTCATTATGATTGTCTTCAAAGGGCCACTGAATCCATGGACAATGCATTCATAGATAGAGAGAGAGAGAATTATATATTTATATCTATATATATATTTACATAGTGGTTGGTGGTCTTTAGTTTTTACACAATCTATTGGAAATAGCAACCTTCCATTCTTTGTTTGTTAATATACACTGTATATTCCGGCATACTAGACGACTTTTTATAATAATAATAATAATAATAATAATAATAATAATAATAATACTTTATTTATATCTATCTCTATCTCTCCGAGGGGACTCAGAGCAGTTCCCAGGTAAAAATCACAGAACATACAAAGTAAAAACAACATAACCATAAGATTAACAAAACAATCTGGAAAATCATATGAAAAGTTGGGGGTCGTCTAGTACGCGGGTATAAACTAAAATAAGTTAAAGAAAAAAATAAAATTGCCCTTAGTGGCACGGCTTGGGGAGGGAGAGAGGGCAAGGGGAGGAGGAGTAGCAGGTCACATTGCCACGGAGAATGGCTGGGGGAGATGGCCCGCTGGGCTTTCCTTGCGGCCCCCCGCCGCTCTCCATTCAAGGACCTCCTCCGCCCTCGCCACTTACCTCCTCCAAAGGCTTGCCTAGGGCCAAGGAAGTGCTTCTGGATGCCGACTCCCAGCAGCGCTGGGCGACAGCATGCCTTGGATGTGCTCCCAGAAGCATGCTGGGAGCAGTAGGAGTCAGGGAACTACTACTCCCAGCATGCCTCTGGGAGCACATCCAAGGCACGCTGCTGCCCAGCGCTGCTGGGAGTCATCCAAAGACACTTCCTTGGGCCTCCGGACGCCGACTCCGAGCAGCGCTGGGATGTCCTCCCAGAGGCATTCTGGGAGCTTTAGGAGCCAGGGAACTACTGCTCCCAGCATGCCTCTGGAAGCACATCCCAGAGGCATGTTATTGTTTATGTGATTTATGTTAATTGTATTGTATTGATTGTTTTTGTTATTGCTTTTGTTATTGATGTACTGTGGGCTTGGCCTCATGTAAGCCGCACCAAGTCCCTTGGAGAGATGGTGGCAGGGTATAAATAAATTATTATTATTATTATTATACATAAAATAATCTTAATGATGGTGGTGGTGATGTTCCACCCCTTTCTTCTCCAGGTGCCTAGTTACTGAGCAAAGCTTAGACTGGCAATTAACAGCAACTTATTATTAGCTGACTACTCTACTTAAATCTACTCTTTGGATACAAGAAACCCAATATAAATGTCTAATAAGGAACATTATCAATATGTGATTACAGAAGGGATCTAACATTTCATTCGCCAACAGGACAGTTCCCATCATCATTACAAAACATGCCAGGAGCCTGGGATCAGAGACAGGTTTAATACCATCTCCAAATACCTCCTTTTCAAAACATTTAAACTCAAAATGGCAACAGACTGAAAGGTGACGTCATTTCTGGTCACTGTTTGGAGAGGATTCTGAAGAAAAACAGAGGTATTTTGGTGATCTAGGGCATTCAGACCATGGGGGAACTGGAGCGCTAGTTAGTTGGCTCCCAGCCCTTGCAGAATCAGAGATTCAGGCCTCCTGCAGGTAGAGCGATGGGAGTCACTCCCACATTTCTGTCTCTCTTGCCACGGATTCAACTCCCCAAACTTCCTTCTATAACTGGAAGCAATTACCAGCCTTGCACAATTTATCAATTTCAGAATTTGGACCTCAGCATACAGATTTAAAAAAAAAAAATTAGACCCTGGAGCTATAAAGTGTGCTTTCCAGTGATTTTCACATCACCAAAGAAACAAATCATTAAAACCAGAGGGAAAGCTAACTCACTCCACATTTGTAGAGCTACGCACGCATAGCTCCCTTTCCTTCAAAAAGGAGGAAACCAATGTGGACCTCCTCCATCCTAATCCCTCCTTTGGGAAGGGTTTCCTTACCGGTGAGCAGCGTCTGGATCCGCTTTGCGATGGGACCTTTTTGGCTTCAGGATGGGGTCCCGGTTGCTTCCCGAGAGACGGTCAGAGGCATAGCCTGGCATCAGGGTTCGCATCTCCAATCGCGGGGCATCCAGTCGGGTCCTGCAGGTATTAAGAACATATTAAATGTAAGCAACCCCCAAGGGCTATTCATTCTAAGCTCATTCTACCAGGCAGAGAAACAATCAAAGCCTTCCCGACAGAGAGCCATCCAACTTCTGCTTAAAAACCTCCAGAAAAGGAGGCTCCACTGAACTACCAGGCAACGGCATATTCCAATGCTGAACAGCTCTTATTGTCAGGAAGTTCTTCCTAATGTTTAGGTGGAATATCTTCTCTTGCAATTTGAATCCATGGCTCCACTGTGTCGCCAGAACAGAAGACAAGCTTGCCCCCTTCTCCTCAATGGGACATCCTTTCAAATGTTTAAGCATGTTTCTCATGCCCCTTTCTTTCAACCTTCTTTTTTCCAGGCTAAATAATCCCAGCTCCTTAAACAGTTTCTCATAAGGCTAGGCTTCCAAACATTTGGTATTTAGTCCATCCTTCTCCTGACACATTCTTCCTTGTCAATATGATACATGAATTCTGGTGCCCAGAAATGGACAAAAGATTATTCTAAGTGACCCAGGGCAGAATGGATAGAGATTGTGACTTCCCTCTATCTAGACCAGTGTTTCTCAACCTGGGGGTCAGGAGGGGGGTTTCAGAGGGGTCACCAAAGACCAGAAAACACAGTATTTTCTGTTGGTCACAGGGGTTCTGTGTGGGAAGTTGGGCTCAATTCAGAATGCTCTTTGATTGCAGTGGACTGTAAATCCCAGTAACTAACAAGTTCCAAATGTCAAGGTCTATTTTCCCCAAAATCCACCAGTGTTCACATTTGGGCATATTGAGTATTTGTGCCAAGTTTGGTTCAGATCTATCATGTTTGAGTCCACAGTGCTCTCTGGATGTAGGTGAACTACAACTCCCAAAACTAAAGCTCAATGGCCACCAAATCCTTCCAGTATTTTCTGTTGGTCATGAGAACCAAGATGGTTCAATTCTATCATTGGCGGAGTTTGGAATGCTCCTTGATTGTAGGTTAACTATAAATCCTAGCAGCTACAACTCCCAAATGACAAATCAACACCCCCCCCCCCCCATAGTATTCAAATTTGGGCATATCGGGTATTTGTTTGAAATTTCGTCCACTGAATGAAAATACGTCCTGCATATTAGATATTTACATTAAGACTTGTAAGAGTAGCAAAATTACAATTGTGAAATAGCAACAAAAATAATTTTTTTTATTATTATTCTTCACCACAACAGGATGAACTGTATTAAAGGGTCACAGAATGTGGAAGGTTGAGAACCACTGATCGAGACACTAAACTCCTATGGTTGAGAGAATGCTGGATCAAGCCAGGGTTCATTTCTGGTGTTACTAGCCTTTCACGAGTACGTGCACAACACGACACTATTGCTCCCCTCAACGCTTCTATCACTGGAATACATGTCCCCCAAATGGGAAGTTTAGTTTCACAACCCTGTGTACCTTTGTGAGCTCCCGGCAAATAACTTGCTCCTATTTTTATCTCATTATAGTTTTTAACATTTTATCCTGTACATGTGGCCTGCCCACTGTTTACGATGTTTGTGTTTTTTTGTTTATTGTAATGCTATTTTGTTATTGATTTTTTCTTTTTAAATGTAATTTTGATGATGTTGCTTGTTGTTTATGTTTTGGTTTTGTCTTGATGTAATATGTTGTTCGGGCTTGGCCCCGTGTAAGCCGTTTCGAGTCCCCATCGGGGAGATATCGGGTCCAAATCACAGCAATTTTACAGTTTGTAGAATCTGGTTCAAGAGGCAGCAAATTATTAGATTCTTGTGGGTTTTTTCGGGCTATATGGCCATGTTCTAGAGGCATTCTCTCCTGACGTTTCGCCTGCATCTATGGCAAGCATCCTCAGAGGTAGTTAGGTCTGTTGGAACTAGGAAAATGGGTTTATATATCTGTGGAATGACCAGGGTGGGACAAAGGACTCTTGTCTGCTGGAGCTAGGTGTGAATGTTTCAACTGACCACCTTGATTAGCATTTGATTGCCTGGCAGTGACTGGAGCAATATTTTGTTGCGAGGTGATGAGATGTCCTTGTTTGTTTCCTCTCTGTTGTTGTGCTGTTCTAATTTTAGAGATTTTTAATACTAGTAGCCAGATTTTGTTCATTTTCATGGTTTCTTCCTTTCTGTTGAAATTGTCCACATGCTTGTGGATTTCAATGGCTTCTCTGTGTTCCCGACAGACCTCACTACCTCTGAGGATGCTTGCCATAGATGCAGGCGAAATGTCAGGAGAAATGCCTCTAGAACATGGCCATATAGCCCGAAAAAAACCTACAACAACCCAGTGATTCCGGCCATGAAAGCCTTCGACAATACCCACCCTGGTCATTCCACAGATATATAAACCCCTTTTGCTAGTTCCAACAGACTTCACTACCTCTACCTAAAGATTATTATTATTATTATTAGTAGTAGTAGTAGTAGTAGTATTGAAGTTGGCCAGAGATCATGCAGAAAAGAGGAGGGAGTCAGACTAGCATTTGTCTTGAAAGCAGGAGTCAGGCACATCCCTCGTAAAGGTGAGTATGGCAGTAAAAACCTGAAGGACCTCCTTCAAACCCATATTTCACGGTTCCCGCTTGTGGGAAACCTACTTTCACTGGCATAGAAAAGCCCTGTTATAAGATTACAAAAGCTCTTCAATAGTGTGTATCTCTTTTTCTTGTCGGCATTTTAGATTGAACAGGACAGGGATGCCACATGCCCGTCTCCCCGTATGACTCAAGCAAGAGCAAAACATTTGATATATTTTCTTTTCTAGGGAATCTTTCCATAACAACAAAAGAACAGCGTCCAAGTTTGAAAACAGGACTGGCACGCTGGCCCTCTGACTAAGCAAGTATTTCGCAACGCCATGAAGCCGAGAATGCGGAAGAATTGGCCTGAATCCTACACTGGGAAAAACTGGCTCTCGTTTTTAATAATTCCTGCCACATCACTAGCTAAAATGTTTTTTTTATAACAGAAAAGCTCTCCGTTATAAAACCAAATGCCGAAGAATTCAGTAAAGTGCAGGGAGCTGTTAGTGAGTGATAACAGTGCACCTTTTAAGCCCTTTCAAGTCCAAGATGTTTATTTCAGAAATTGCAGCCAGGTTTCTTAATGCGGTTTTTCCTCCCAAAAATGCCCCAATTAAAACTGTTTTAAGAAACATCTCAAACAGTACGAAATGGCTGAATCCTCTTTAACTGGCTAAGAATATCCAAACTTCTCTCTTGATGGTTCCACCTGCTCACCTTCTAATACTGCCAGCCAATTCAGTGGCTTAGATCATGAGAAAAGGGCCCATAAATACTGCCATGTTTTCATTGCCCTGTTTAACGTTTATACAAATGACCTGCCACTGCCAGAAGGGATAGAAGGGATAGAGTGTTTCATCTATGCTGACGATCGTGCCATCACCGCTCAAATAGGGAGCTTTGAAATGGTTGAACAGAAGCTCTCCAAAGCTTTAGGTGCTCTTACTGCCTATTACAGGGGAAACCAGCTGATTCCTAATCCATCTAAAACACAGGCATGTGTTTTTCATCTTAAGAACAGACATGCATCTCAAGCTCTGAGGATTACCCGGGAAGGAATCCCAGAGGAGCATTGCAGCATATCAAAATACCCGGGAGTCTCTTTGGACTGTGCTCTGACTTATAAAAAGTACTGTTTGAATATCAAGCAAAAGTGGGTGCTAGAAATAATATCATACGAAAGCTGATTAGTACAACCTGGGGATCACAACCAGATACAGTGAAGACACCTGCCCTTGTGCTTTGCTACTCTGCTGCTGAATATGCACGCTCAGTGTGGAATACATCATACTACGTTAAAACAGTGGATGTGGCTCTTAATGAGACATGCCGCATTATCATAGGATGTCTGCATCCCACACCGCTGGAGACATTATACTTTTTAGCTGGTACAACCATCAGGAAGTAGTAGCCAATAGACACTGAGAACTGGGAAGCCCTGGCCCTTGACTGCTCCAGCTGGAGGTCATCTGTGACCAGCAGTGCTGCAGAATTTGAAGAGGCACGAATGGAGGGCGAAAGGGAGAAGCATGCCAAGAGGAAGGAATGTCAAGCCAACCCCGACCAAGACTGCCTTCCACCTGGAAACCAATGCCCTCACTGCGGAAGAAGATGCAGAGCAAGAATAGGGCTCCACAGCCACATACGGACCCACAAGAACACTGGAAGACAATCATCCTCGGAAAACGATGGATCGCCTAAGTAAGTAAGTAAGTAGCCAATAATGAAAGGACCAAGGCAGTGACATCTCCAGCCCATCCTCTGTTTGGATATCAGCCAGCATGACAACATCTTAAATCAAGCTTTCTAATATCTACAGAGACACTTGCAGGAACAGCTCAGCAAGCGAGAGTCTAAAAGTGGCAGGTTAAACCCCAGTACCTTAATCAGTGGCTGAGACCTGATGAAAAACTCCCTCCTAGGCACACAGAAGACTGGGTGAGCTGGAAGGCGCTGAACAGGCTGCGCTCTGGCAACATGAGAGGCAGAGCCAACCTTAACAAATAGAGCGACAAAGTGGAGTCCACAACATGCGAGTATGGAGAATAGCAAACCACAGATCACTTACTACAATGCAACCTGAGCCCTGCCACATGCACAATGGAAGACCTTCTCACAGATACACCAGAGGCACTCCACGTGGCCACTTTCTGGTCAAAGAACATTTAGTATAATGGCAAACTTTGTTTGTGTTTTTAAATACAAGTTAACTGTTCCCTTAACTTGCTTCTAACACGATAAATAAATAAATTGCCCTGAAGAGTTTATGGCTAGTCCAGTAACCAAGGCAAAACAGAAAAAATCCACTCAAACCATTTCCCCGCAGTACACTTCTGTTCCCCGGAAAAGACTAAATTCTTAAGAGGTCCTTCCAGGAAGTCTCCATTCTAGATGGCCAAGTTTTGCGAGAACCGGAGTCCTTGCACTGCCTTCCAGAAATTAAGTTTATGGGAAAACTGGATAGAACGTAAAATGGAAAAGGTAAATATGAGAAAAGAATTGAGAGGAATAAACATTTCTTGGCTCCATTGGATTCAATTAAAAATGGAATAATAATTGGTGGGTCCGAAATAAAACTGGGAAACAAATAGCACAATTTGAGGAATTGATAATAAAAGGATTAAAAAGAGAAAATAGTGAGCAATTAAAAGGAACAACAAGTAAAATATATAAAATACTAATTAAAGACACAGGAAAAAAGAAAAGACTAACATTAGAGAATTATGGGAGGAGGAAGTAGGAACAATGATAACTGAAAAAGAATGGGAAGAGATATGGAAAGCAAGACACTTAAAAACATGTCAATTAGAATAAAAAAATATAAACTAATTTGGAAATGGTATTTAATACCAAGAAGGTTAAACATTATAAATAAGAACAATAACGAAAAACGTTGGCAAGGATGCCAAGAAACTGGAACCTACATGCATATGTGGTGGGACTGTAAATACGTAAAAGATTTTTGGGAATTGGTTATAACAGAAATAGAAAATATGATGGATATAAAAATTAGGAGGAACCCAGTAGACATATTATTTTTAATTAATAAAGAGGCTGGGAAAGATAAGAGGGATTTTTTGTATTGTTTTAATAGACATGTTATTGTTTTAATAGACATGTTATTAACAGCAGCTAGACTATTAATTGCGAAATACTGGAAAGGGGCAATGAAAATACAGACTAATGAATGGTACAAAGAAATCTGGAAAATGGCACTGAACGATAAGCTAACATCAAACTTAAAAGTAAAGAAGGGATTATGCAGAAATTAAGTTGCCAGGCAATAGTCCCACACAACTTGAACCACTAACATGATCACATAGAGTTGTCTCTTTTCTGCTTTTGAGTAAGTATACTTTTATTCCTTGCGTGTGTTTACTACAAGCCTGAATTATTACAAATGCTCTCATCACTTGGAGACAACTGAGGCAGAAAGTTGTTCCAGCCACCGAGCACATTTCAGACACTGGCAAGATGCCCTCTGCTGGCACTTTTTGGCAGAAATGCTATATTGACTCGAATCTAATGACCCATTCAATCTGATGTGAACCTCAATTTTCAAAATTCTGAAACCAAAAGAAGGATTTGCTGCTAGATGTGATGCACAGTGGCCAAAAATGCACTCTTTGTAATTTGGCTCAAAAAAGGTGCACATTACAGTAGAAATAAAAATGACTGAACACAAAAACTTCCAGCAATCCACTTTAACTGTCCTGGCTCAATGCCATGGAATCATGTAGTTTTACAAGTCCTTGAGCTTTCTCTGCCACAGAACAACCAAACTACAAATCCCAGAATCCAATAGCATGGAGCCATGGCAATTAAATTAGAGACAAGGTCCTTCAAAGAGGAGCTCCAGGTGCTCTGGAAGCAGCATCTCCTTTTGCTTTGCCTCAGAGCTAGATTTACCATATTATGCAAATTAATGTGAATCCTAATTTTGGCAAGGTAACTTAGCCAAAAAAGGTGAGCATTAGATTCAAGTAAAGAGGGTACCTAAAAAGACCAATAAAACTAGAACTTCTCCGAACTAGAACTAGAACTTCTGTGGTGCTCCCACAGAATTGAGCCATGTGAAGTGGTCTCCAACTGCATTAATTCTACAGTGTAGATCAGGGGTCCTCAAACTAAGGCCCGGGGGCCAGATACGGCCCTCCAAGGTCATTTAACCGGCTCTCACTCAGGGTCAACCTAAGACTGAAACGATTTGAAAGCACACAACAACAGCAACAACAACAATCCTATCTCATCAGCCAAAGGCAGGCCCACACTTCCCACTGAAATACTAATAAGTTTATATTTGTTAAAAATGTTCTTCATTTTAATTATTGTATTGTTTTTAGGGGGGGTTGCACTACAAATATATGCAGTGTGCATGGGTATTCATTCATGATTTTTTCGAATTATAATCTGGCCCTCCAACAGTTTGAGGGACTGTGACCTGGCCCTCTGTTTAAAAAGTTTAGATGCACCCTGGAGATAAAGCAGTTGCACATGGCATCACAACTTACTGCCTCTGTGTGTGTATGCAGTCTATGTGCCCAAGCTTTGGGGTTGTTGTTTTTTTACTCCCAAACTGGCCAAAAGCACCCAAAGTTGCCCCAAAATACCAAAAAGGGGGAAAACATCAGCAGAGAATCAACCAAAAGTAACATCATAGGGAGGAAGACAGAAGGGCCTGCCACTAAATAGGAAAGGGGTTGGTGGTTATTTTAAGGGACACAGATATAGCACACCAGCTTCGCACTCCTCAAAGGGAACACAACACTTACTTCCTAAGGATGATGACGGCTCTCCTCTCCTTGATATCCTGCGGCCGAATGCAGTGTGTAATTTCATCTGCTGCGTAGCCACTGTGTGGGATAAGAAAGAACAAGAAGGATTTCAGGCAAAACTGCACTTTCTAAGACTCAAAACTGGCTCGAGGTCTGGAAATGGCTCGGCTGCATGGAGCTTAAGTCAGCGGTGCTTTGCCTGCAGCTTGGCAAAAGTTGACAGTCCCCCTGAATAGGAAGTTCAATGTCTGGAAAGCATATCTGGAAGACTAGGGCCAGAAAACCTGGCAAATCCATCCTTGTCCCACACTGGAGACTGCCAAGTTGAAGCCTCGGTCTTTAGTGTGCTATTAATCTCAGTTATTTACACAACACTCTGTGATAAATTCAAAAAGATAAAACACCTAATGCATAATAGAAAAAGTGCGTTTTGTTTAAGGAAGATAAAAGCATCATAAACCACTTAACGGAGGTGAAGCAGTTCAGAATTAACTGGAAATTGCAGCAGTTTAAAAGGTAAATAAACAGGCCTGTGTAAGTCCAAACCAGCCTCCAAGGAGGGACCCTGAAAGCTTTCAAAAAGAAAGCATGCCATTAGTGGGGCCACAGTAGAAAAGATCTTACTTTCCATACCTAACTTTTTTTTGTCATGTCAGGAGCAACTTGAGAAACTGCAAGTCGCTTCTGGTGTGAGAGAATTAGCCATCTGCAAGGACATTGCCCAGGGGACACCCGGATGTTTTGATGTTTTATCATCCTTGTGGAAGGCTTCTCTCATGTCCCAGCATGAAGAGCTCTCCCTGGATTCAAACCTGCGACCTATCTGTCTTCAGTCCTGCCACACAAGAGTTTAATCCACTGCGCCACCGGGGAATCCATAGCTAACTGGGGGCCCTATATCCCAGTATTATATTGTGGGATTTTCTGCCTTGATATTCTGGGATATAGGGCTGTGTGGAAGGGCCCTGATATACTTGAGGAGGCAGGGATACCTCTGGGCTCCCGAAGAGGATCTTTGGATCCAGACAGTCACATACAAAGAGCTGACCATTTTAAGTCTTGTACCTGTCAGAAATATTAAAAATTAACTAGGTATTTTTAATTACAAAAATGTGAGTCAAGCACTGAAAGGGTTAAATGGATGCCATGACTCTGCAAAAGCTGTAGTTCAATAATAAGCAGGTGTGTCTGTAGCTTACTAGCCGTCAGTCTGAGGTAAACCTCAGTGGGAGAACAGTCTCAATCTGTGAGAAGGCCTCACAGTTTGAGGAGGAGCCCCCGGTAGCACAGTGGGTTAAACCCCTGTGCCGGCAGGACTGAAGACCGTCAGGTCGCAGGTTTGAATCCAGGGAGAGAGAGAGGATGAGCTCCCTCTATCAGCTCCAGTTCCTCATGTGGGTATACAGGAGAAGCCTCCCACAAGGATGATAAAACATCAAAGCATCTGGGCGTCCTCTAGGCAACGTCCTTGCAGACGGCCAATTCTCTCACACCAGAAGCGACTTGCAGTTTCTCAAGTTGCTCCTGACATGACAAAAAAAACCAAAACAGTTTGAGGTAGGCCTTAGTCTGTGAGAAGATCGAGTATGAGAAGGCCTGGTGTGAGAAGTTTTGTTGAGAGGAAGCCCCAGGTTGAAGGTCTCATGTGCAAAGCTACTGTGTGAAGGCTGTTGTGTGTAAAACTACTGTGTAAATTCGGTGTGAGAAGAGGCTCTGTGACAGTGAAGCTGTTTATCTGCATAAGAAAGAGGCCCAGTATGGAAGCAATGAAGGAAGTATTAAAAAACTTTGTTTCATAGAAACCTTGTTCTTAGTGTAAATCTATTATTATGCTATAAAGAAATGCCTCCTATGGGAGAGATAACATTGGTCTGTATGTTTTTGTTCTTTTTATCACTTTGGGCTACTGGTGCTGGGTCACGCTGCAGATAATAAGTTACTCTGTTGTACATTTATCGGGAGGGTCTCTTGTTAATAAACCAACTCACCCTACTTTACCTTCTCTCTCAGGTTGAGCCTAACTATGGCGGCATTTTGCAGGAACATCCTGAGAAACTCAGCTCTGTTAGGGCTGAGGAAGGTGTCTTAGGATGGATCTACACTGCTATATAATGCAGTTTGAACTGTACTGACCTGTATTATATGAATCTACACTGACCATATATGCAGTTCAAACTGCCTTATATGGGAGAGTAGATCCAACCACAGCTTCCTTGTTATATCTCAGAATTGACTGCCACAGCCATGAACCAGTCTAACTTGGTAATAAACCGATACCTTATATTTTGCCTACTGAAGCCGCCACCTCCCTTTAACAGGCTGCATCTACAGCTACAATATGATTCTTAACTCTCAAATATTACACCATAGACTGACTTTGGCTAAAATAGGAGACAGTTTTAGTAAGATGCAGTGTATTCTCATTTCTCCTCCCCAAAAAAATCCTCCTTGCTGCTTTTCTGGTCCTGGTGTGGTTTGGCCGGGAATGGACCATGGATTATGGGAAGTGCAGTACCTTTGCTCAATTCCCGAGACCACTACAACCCTCATCCAATTACTGAAAAAGACCAAACTTGGCACACTGAGTCTCCATGACGCACTCTACATCCTGGTGCGGTTTGGAGGAGGATGCACCATGGACGATGGGACTTTCAATACCTGCACTCCCTTCCTAAGACCAATAGAACTGCCAACAATGATGTATCAGGACCACAATTCACACTGAGAGCCCGCATGACCCACTGTACATCCTGGTGCGGTTTGGAAGAATTTGGCGATGGATGATGGCACTTGCAGTCACTTCACTCACTTCCTGAGACCCTCGCCAATGACTGATGAAGACCAAACTTGGCACACAGAGCCCCCATGACACACTCAACACCCTTTTTTTGAAGAAAAAAGAGGGGTATATTCTATTCTCAACCATTATCAATACCACAAAACTATATGCTTTCATGGGCCCCATGGTGGCCCAGCGGGTTAAACTGCTGAGCTGCTGAACAAAAGGTTGGTGGTTCAAATCCAAGGGGTTGGGTGAGCTCCTGCTTCTGCCAACCTAGCAGTTTGAAAACATGCAAATGTGAATAGATCAATAGGTGCTGCTTCTGCGGGAAAGTAACGGAGCTCCATGCAGTCACACTGGCCACATGAACTTAGAGGTGTCTACAGACAACGTTGGCTCTTCGGCTTAGAAATGGAGATGAGCACCACCTCACAGAGTCGAACACCACTGTACTTAATGTCAGGGGAAACCTTTACGTTATGTTGTTTTCATACTTAACATACTGTACAGAGATATTCTGAGAGTTGCTAGCTTTGAACATCTCTTACAGATCCATAGTGTTCTGAGAACAGACACTGGCTCCAGAGGATAGCATTCTCTCAACCTTCTTCAGATCTTCAAGTGATTTTGGGTTTTATCAAAGAAGTGGCAGAGAGAGGGGCATTCAAGAGACTCTGCTTTTCATTCCCTGCATTTCTTCAGGACACTTGTAGCATCACTGAGGGCCTCTTCCCTGCTGAGATACGCAAACTTCGGATACGCAATCCAGGTCACGCGCAGAGCAAACATCAGCAAGAACAGTGCAGCAGTCATATGTGGAAGAATCAGGGGGCTGAATTAGGAAGCTGCGCTAAATGGGCCAGGAAGAAGTGGTGACAGAACTACTGTAATCAAAACACAAGTACAGAAGAAAGAGAAGAAGGGAGAAAAAGAAAGAAAAGGGGGAAGGTATGACAGAAGGGAGGGAGAAAGAAAGGAGGAGGGAAGAAAGAAAAGGGGGAAGGTATGAAATAGAGGGAGAAAACGTGGAGGCAGTGACAGACTTTGTATTTCTAGGTGCAAAGATTACTGCAGACGCAGACTGCAGCCAGGAAATCAAGAGATGCTTACTTCTTGGGAGGAGAGCAAGGTCCAATCTTGCTAAAATAGTAAAGAGTAGAGACATCAGACTGGCAACAAAGATCCATTGCCTAGTCCAAGCCATGGTATCCCCTGTAGTCACCTACGGATGTGAGAGCTGGACCATAAGGAAGACTGAGCGAAGGAAGAGAGGCGCTTCTGAACTGTGGTGCTGGAGGAAAGTTCTGAGAGTACCTTGGACTGCAAGAAGATCCAACCAGTCCATATTTCAGGAAATAATTCCGACTGCTCATTGGAGGGAAAGATAGTAGAGGCCCAGATGAAGTACTCTGGCCACATCATGAGAAGAAAGGAATGCTTAGAGAAGACAATGATGCTGGGGAAAATGGAAGGAAAAAGGAAGAGGGGCCGACCAAGGGCATGATGGATGGATGGCATCCTTGAAGTGACTGGATTGACCTTGAAGGAGCTGGGGGTGGTGACGGCCGACAGGGAGCTCTGGTGTGGGCTGATCCAGGAGGTCATGAAGAGATGGAAACGACTGAACGAATGAACAACAACATGAGAAGTAAAGAAAATAAGAAAGAACAGAAAGGTAGGGTAAAGAAAAGAATGAGGAAGAAAGAAGCATGAAGGGAGGGAAGAAAGAGAAAGAAAGTGAAAGGGAAGAAAAAGGGGATGGAGGAAGGGGAGAGGAGAGAAGGAAGAGAACAGAAATAAAGAAAGGAAAAGTGTATGAGCGAAAGCGAGAGAAGAAGGAAAGGAAGAAAGAAGAGAGGGAGAAGAACTATGAAAGAAACTGCAGAGTGCAGGCCTGCCACGCGAAACCACTGACCCAGACATATGAGGAATCATGTTGCCATAACTAACATGCTGCTCCTATCTCCCTCCTGCCTCCCCACCTCTTTCAACAGCAGCTGCAATTAGAACTGCTTACGCACACCCAACTAGGGGGCCAGCAGACCCACTCCTGGGTGGGGAGTATGGGCCCGACCCACTCTGGAAGCACCTAGTAGCCCTGGGCCACTCACTCCCACGAATCGGCCAACCCTCCCTGGCAAACTGCCCTTTTGAGTTAATGCTTAAGAGCTTAATATCTACTGCACTCTGACTGAAATAACCTCCGCATTTGAAGTGCTGTCGTCTCTCCTTGGAAACCAGCTTGCCAGGAACACAAATGTCAAGGTACTTTGGGCCAACCTGTGGCCTAAAGTAA